GCTACTGCTTAACCCAAAGATCCATTAAGTACAAAACACGCAAAACCGAATTGCGCAGTGTAAGCATGTGTGCGTGCACATAAATTCCAGCAGTAAAATTTCCCCAAAGAAAAATCCTAAAATCTAAAAAGTGGCCGCGCAGTTAATATTTTTTGTCTTTTAGTGCATGTGGATATTAGCATTGAATGCGTTCATACTTATTACTTCATTTCGAACAGAACAGATCCACACATATTCATTTTGAAGTTTTAAATTTTAAAAAGTCATATCTTTCAAACCGCTCGTCGGAATTCAGATCCTTTCACTACTGGAACTCTTGTGACGAGATCTTTGAAATTAGATCCCGCATGAATATGTTTTGACGATTTTTTTGATGCCAACTTTAATGCTATATGGTGCAACTTTAGTACTGTATTGTGCAACTTTAGTACTACATCGTGCAACTTTTTGCAAAACCAATTTTTGGATCTACATGATTCAACTTTCTATGAGATTGCAGTCTAGCAACCATGACAACTTTAATGTTTATTTGGCAGGACTATTGGCACACACATGCGCTCAGTTGACGCGGCAATGTAGTCTAGTTGCACACACATTGATATTTAGTTGGCAGGACTTGTTACACACACATATGCTCAGTTGGCGTGGCAATGTAGTCTAGTTGCACACATATTAATGTTTAGTTGGCAGGACTATTGACACACACATATGCTCAGTTGCTGCGGCAATATAGTCTAGTTGCACACACATTGATGTTTAGTTGGCATGACTATTTGGCACACACATATGCTCAGTTGGCGCGACAATGTAGTCTAATTGCACATATATTAATGTTTAGTTGGCAGGAAGATTAGTTCGTCGAAGCATACCCATGCGGGATCTAGTTTCGAAGAGCACGTCGTAAGGGTTCCAAAAGTGAAAGCGGATCTTAATTTTGATGTTTGATTTAAAAGTTATGGCTTTTAAAATGAAAATGAACTCTAAATTAATGTGTTTACACGTGGGTGCCTTCCAATCCGTAATTAAAAACATGTTGCATGCCTTTTCTACCCTTTTTACGATGAGAAAGAATCTTTCCTTTTTTGTTTAATAGGGACATAAATGATAAAAGTGACGGCCGCTGTGGAGCGCTAGCGAGCGCCCTGCCACTCGCTAGACACGTTCAAGAAAAATCACTATATAGTATATTCAGCCAATTATTGGGGTACAGACACAAGCAAATTTCAGTGGACTATAGCATCTCATATATTTCGTGCAAACCAAAGTAGATGGTACGGATGACATAGTACTCTAGTTAGAATGAGGGTCTAGTCCCCTTTGGGCCCCATTGAGTGACCAGCACAAAGACGGCAACCACATTGCCAAAACATTTGGAGCATCATATTAGCTATAGATGATGTGGCAACATCATATAGCCAACAACTGGCTGTATTATTAACCATGCTCTCAGGCTTCAGCTAACTAATAGATCAGGAGCCAGCTAAACTAAGTTAACCTAGATGAAAAGTTGGCACACTTTCCAACCAGTCTAGAAATGTGCACAACATGAAAGACACTAACAGAACATAACTATAAAGGTTCAGAGCACGATATAGGCACAAGGTGAACAGTCATGATCATGAGTTTAGGCTTCATCTAAGTGTGCAAAGGTTAAAAAATATATAGTTTCACCTAGGAGCATACTAATCATTTATCCGCACAGCCATTCTTTTAAGCATTGGCGCCCATCTGATTATCACTTTGAGCAAGTCAACCTCATGGTCCTCCCCATCGAAGCCTTCCATTTCCACTTCTTCGAGATTGATCAAGGAGAAATTTTTGCTTCTCCAGCTCCTGGGCTCATCGCAGGGACAATTTACCGGGCATTCTTCTTTGAACTAGAACAAATATGTGGATTACTACACTTCATTTACTGATGGTTCAGAAACGAGACTGTATCTCAAGAATGCAAACATATATATATATATATATATATATATATATATATATATATATATATATATATATATATATATATATATATATATATAGTTTTTGTTTGAACAAGCAGTACCATACATAACTGCAATATATTAACAGAGCAAAGTAGTATTACCTCTGATCTCTGTAAGATGATCTTAAGCTTTCGTGTAGCAGAACGAATCGGATGCATCCCAAGTAGATGCACGCAAATGCTCCAAAAACATGCCTCACTGATCTGACACGATGATCAAGCTCCATTGTCGTGAAATGTAGCTCCAAAACAGAGAAGTCGGTAACCAGATGCGTCTCTATCTCCTGCTCCAAGCTGAACTCTGCATCAGGATAACTAGTCGAACCCTGCAAAAAGAAACGGTAGTGTATCATGCATAGTCGCTCCATGGCGGCTTGGAGTTGGAGCGGGCCGAGCGCTAGGTCGCGGAAGACGAGGTCGGGGAGGCGGGTCCAGAGGCCGCGCCACCGGCGGGAGAGGAGCCCTGTGCGCGCGGCGGCGCGGGCGCAGCGGAGGCGGACGAGGACCTGGAGGAGCAGATCCTCCGGCAGGGCGCTGATGAGGTCGGCTCCTCCGCCGGCAGGAACATGGCGGCGTGCGACATCCTCCATGGGAAACCCAACCCCGATTGCAGACGAGAGAGAGGGGAAGGGAGGAGGAGCAGATCCTCCGGCAGGGCGCTGATGAGCCCTTTTTTTACAGACAAAACGCCACGAATTTTGATTGAATATGCACAAAAAAAGGAGTGTTCGATGTTGTGTGAACACAGTATTTAAACTCAAAATATATGTATGTGTATATGCACAACTCCTTGCCAAAGTAAAATTTTGTCAAAGTCAAACTTTATAAATTTTGACTAAATTTGTAGAGCGAACCAACATAAACAATTACAATACCGAACATACACCATATGAAAATGTATTTTTATCATGTATCCAATGGTTTTAGTTGACATTTTTTTTTTGAGTTTCAAGGCAGGTGTTCTGCTGATTTCATTATTAAGAGAGAAAAATCAAAAACAGAGTGGCCCGATTTATATGAAAAATTAAGCCGAAAACCATACAACACACGATTGATCAAAGGGAAATTGTGCCAAAAACCACACCCATGCCGACATCGGCCAACTCAACTCCACCGCCAAAAAGCCTACAAAACCGAAGATGTTTGGGTGGACATCTCGGAGACACCGTCAAGAAGCACCGTCGCCGATATCCTTAGATCCCCTATCGAAGCAAGGCTTTCGCCCAGAGCCAGCCTCACCAACTTCGGCAGACCTCGGGAAAAGGCCGGCCACACCTACAGCCCCCACGGCAACCCTCGAACCTACAACAACCATGGCCTAGTGAAGAGGAGGAACTCTTCGTCGACAGCTCCAAGGAGCATCGTCACTGGTATCCTTGGATCCCCATCGAGCCCAAGACTTTTGTCCAGAGCCCTACCTCTTCACCTACTCGAACCCCGGGGAAGGAGCCCAGCCACTGCCAAGAGAGAGCAACCGGCAATAGCAGACCATGGCCTACGGATCCAAGAGCTCGCCGCCGATCGGGCCGCAACATCACCAAGGAGGCAAGCGCACGCCGACATTGTGAATATTGACAATTTTTTCTTTAAACTTAGCCAAGGTTTACAAAGTTTGACGCTGACTAAAATTTATATCACTAACTTTTTTTTTGAGAACCTAACTTGTTAAAAAGTGAGTGTGTTTTTTTTACGAAAGAAAATGATTTCCTAGCCGAGTGTCCCACATTGCCTGTTATTGCATATGGAGCATGCAAATGGATACATACTACTATGCACGACATGTTGAAGGTTCACAAGATGACAAGATAATTTACTTCACTTTTTTTGTACAAAAAGAAATTCAACATTGAAAATAATGAACTCATCTACGAGTAAGTTGATCACGTGTAAATATAGAGGTTGTCACTTTCTCCACAGGGACTCGATTATGAGTACTCGAATGTTTTCACAGCTGAAGTGAGCAAACATAGGTGGCGAACAGAACAATAATCTAACTAATACTGCTGGTTCCAACTATTTTTGTTCTTTTCATGGTTAATTTAACTGGCAAACACAAATCTCAACAAGCAACAGATACAAGAAGATATTTCTCACACTTAAAGATCAATAAGTCATGCATGATATGAACATTTACAATAACGGATCTAATGATATTGATTTAGTATTGTAGATGTTATTAATTTTTTCTCTAAATTTGGTCAAAGTTTGACTTAAGGTAAAGTTAATTATGCAGAGTAGAAAAAAAAACTTACTCATTTCCTACTTAATGTGATTAGGATTACAGAGATGCTACTAGAGTATGGTTTATCTATCACCATAGCTGTCCTTGCCATGTGGTAGAAGAGCAGATGGATGCTAGAGGAAAAAAAACAAAGAGTTGCTAGAGGGACCATGTTGGATCTTGACCCAGACTTGGGGCGCTTGGACTTGGACCAAAAGAGAAAGAGATGAGACCACTGATCCTCTGTAAAATGCCTGCTTTGCTTTACTGTGATGGGAGTGAGCTAATTCTGAAGCTAATTAGGTTGATGTGACCATCAAAGCTTGCTGGAACCCTTACCAAACCGGCCACATGCTCGCTTCACAAAAAGAGAGGATAAAGTGAACATTCTTCTTCTCTGATGCTCTATCGAGCTTTTGCTCAAGATAAGCACAGAGCTAATCGAGGCTTAACATTTTGACTGGCATACGGTGTGTACACTAAATCTTGGCAATTTCATGACAAAGCCAAGCTATGACAATGCTATTCTTTCTTCAAGGAAAGAGCAAGAGTACACCAAGTTATTAACAATGTCATATTATAGGCCAAGGTTTAATTAAGAGCAAGAGTGCACCAATCCTAGCCTGTAGCTCCGTTACACCGCTGAAAAAACACCTCAGCTGCTCACTTTTGTCCATTGAAGCCACCTAGCAAAATTCTGAAACTGGATTGCGGAGTTGGTCCTCATGGGAGAGGACCATCTTGTCGATGAGCACCGCCGCCAATCCGTAAATGCAAAGATGAGAATCATTCCAATGCACAACTTTGGCTGTGGTGCTTTGACCCTGCAGGCAAATGAGGCAAAAGTAGAAACCAGTTTGGCTCAGTATCTCAGCATGGAAATATAGAGTCGACGCATGTAGAGAATGCTATCAATAGCAAATAAAACTTTGCCAATGAGTTTATGAATATTTAGTAGTAATACTGAAGAGCTGCCAGTTTTTCTTTTCATATACCCTTCTCTGTTTTTTGTCTGGCATTAACCCGATGGCCCATGAAAGTCAGTCAAACGAGACACCTAACTCCTGTTAAACTAGAAACTTCTTTTAGCGGCTACTAAGTACAACTGGTGCAAAATCGAATTGTGCAATGTAAGGATGTATGCACACAAACTCAGCAGTAAAATTTCCCCATAGAAAAAACACTAATACAGCATGTTCAGCCTATTATTGGGGTACAGGAGCAAGCTAAACTAAGTTAACCTAGACGAAAGGTTGGCATGTCAGCACCCCAAGCATTCTTTGCACAACATGAAAGAAACTGACAGAACAGAACTATAAAGGTTTCAGAGAATAATATAGGCACAAGGCAAACACTGATAAAGCCTGAGTTTACGCCTTGATGAAACTTTGCAAAGATAAAAGAGAATTAGTTCCATCTAGGAGCTTAATTATACTAATCACTGATGCAGAACCTTCTTACCGGAACTAAGATAAACGTTGCATTCCACAAATGGATACGCCTTGAAGAAGTCGTGTGATTTCAAACACCGATCGTTACTTGTGCTGACCTCATCACACATCCACACGGACATTCTTTTAAGCATTGGTGCGCATCTGAATATCACTTTCAGGAAATCAAAATCATGATCCTCCCCTTCGAAGCCTTTGATTTCCACTTCTTCAAGATTGACCAACGAGATATTTTTGCTTCTCCAGTTCTTGGGCTTATCACAGCGACAATTTACTGGGCATTCTTTTACCACCTAGAGAAAATGTGGATTAATACAATATGTTTACTGATGGTCCACAACTGAGACATTATCTCAGGAATGCACATAGAGTTTTCTTTTGTCTGAGCAATTATCATATGTATTTGAGATATATTAAAGGAGCAAAGGGTTACGTCTGATCTAAGTAAGACGATCCTAAGCTTTCGTGTAGCCGTACGAATCCGATGCATCCCAAGTAGACGCACCACACATGCTCCAAAAGCATGCTTGGCTGGTATACCAAAATGAAACTCAGTTGTCGAGAAATGCAGCTCCAAGACAGAGAAGCCGGTTACAAGAAGTGCCTCTATCTTTTGCGCAACTTCGAGCTCTGCGTCAGGTTTAGCAGTCCAACCCTGCAAAAAGAAATGGCAGTCTATCATGCGTCGGAAGTTCCATTTAGTTGGAAAATCGAATCAATTGAGTAGGGCAGGAGACATACAGGTGAACCCGACAAATGCAGGGACAGGACATAAACGTTAGACAACGGCAAACGGGCGTCGTCTTCGGTGCCGGTCTCGGTGAGCAACCGCTGTCCCTCGGTCTCTGCAGTGCCAGTATGCAAGGTCATCATGGAGAGTCCCCAACAAGAAATCTCCTCAGTCTCGATGGTATAGTAGCACTCCAACGAGACCTTCTTCACAGTTGGTGCCACTATGGACACCCTGAGCTCATTGATGGTGTGGAAGGCCACCGTCAATTGCTTCAGCATGGGGGCCTCGACGTCGATACATCTTGTCCATTTGGACCGACTCCGCACTTGCAGCTCCTCCAACGACTCCGATTTGATGGTGATGTCGCCGGCGGAGTGGTAGCAATCGTTGGCCACCCTGAGCACCCGCAGGCGTGGGCAGCGGAGGACAAAGTCGGCGAGGTCGAGGTCGAAGCGAGGCAGCTCTACGTCGGTGACGAGCATGTCTCGCGGCAGGGCGAAGTGGAACTCCACCGGCGAGAGCCGCGCAGAGGCATCAAGCAGCGAGGATATCCGGTGCGAATGCCCCCGGCCCAGATCATCCCCGGTGACGCGAATGTCGAGGAGGGACATCCCGGGGCCGAGGCCGGCCGCAGCTTGGAGCGAGGTGAGCGCCGGTAGGAGCGGGTCGGCCGCGACGTCGCGGAAGACGAGATCGGGGAGGCGGGTCCAGAGGCCGCGCCACCGGCGGGCGAGGAGTCTGGTGCGCGCGGCGGCGCGGGCGCAGCGGAGGCGGACGAGGACCAGGAGAAGCAGATCCTCCGGGAGGGCGCTGATGAGGTCGGCTCCTCCGCCGCCTGGACCTAGCTTGGGACGGCCGCCATGGCGGTGCGCTGCATCCTCCATGGAGATCCCCAATGCGATGCGATTGAAGAGAGAGAGAGAGAGTGAAATTTTTTAATCATAAATTTGACAATAATCCTCTACTGTATATCTAAATAAATAGGGATTTTTTAACCTTCTCACGAACCACATCATCTGAATTGGTATAGCCGTTGATAGAGTATAGGTCAATAATCTACACCGTCCGATCAAAAGTTGACAAAATTATCAAAAGCTGCTATTGCTAAGTGATAAATATCGATATGTCCCTTTCACATCGTCTGACTAGGCTGTAGTTCTCACTAAAATATGTTTGTGGACATTAAAAAGCCCACTGAAAACCTATAGGTAAAGTCCATCATTCACAATCTCAAGGAAAGATTGTGGACATGGCCCACCCTTGCGGGCAGCCGCCGTGCCACTTAGAGCCCTTCCGGCGGGATTGTGCCACCACTCACCTGTCATCGGCCAGACGCTGCCACCCCTGATGCTCTATGAACAGCCGCCGCCTGTTAGGATCCACTGTAGGGTGCGTTGGCTGTAAATTAAAATTTCCTACACGCAGAACATCTAGGAACATGCTAAGGGAAATGGATTATAGATCGTTACCAGTAGACGTGCAGTGTCGTGCAGCGAAAGTGGAGTTGAGGCAGCGCGTCCCCGGAGTCGTCTCCTCCTTGTCGATCTTCGACGCAGCCGATCGGTTCCCTTGAACAGGTTCGCCGGAGCGGCGCAAGTGCACCACCTCTAACGGTATCCGCGCGTGCAGGAGGAACGTCGTGCGACGGACTGCTAGGTCTGATAACACAACCGGCGGCGAGTGGAGGTGGCTAGTTGCAACACATGCAAAGCCCTAATGACAACGCCGAAGCGATCAACTCAATAAGTGTGCCGCACCTTCACTATATATAGGCATCCGTCGTGGGCTCAACACTTAGGCCTCGTACAGATCCTAAAGCCCAAAGTCTACTCAGGTCACGTTTCAAGTCCAACTCGGATCACATCCGACCAGTGTCCTCGAAACTGTATAGGTTCCTTTTCTTTAGCGCGCGACCCCTTAGGTTCAAGTCGGCTTGGTCACGCGGGAGGTGGCTCGGTGGAAGCGAGGCAACCCCACGTGGAAGAACTAGATGTCGCGTGGGAGGGCCAGGCAGAACTCCGCCTGCGAGAGCCCCGCGGCGGCATGGAGCAGCAAAGAGACCCAAGAAGCCTCCCGCTCAAGCCCCACGACGCGGATGTCGATGAGGGTCACCCCGGGGTCGGCCGCAGTGGAGCGGGCCGAGCGCTAGGTCGCGGAAGACAAGGTCGGGGAGGCGGCTCCAGAGGCTACGCCATTGGCGGGAGAGGAGGCATGTGCTCGCGGCGGCACGGGTGCAACGGAGGCGGACGAGGACCTGGAGGAGCAGATCCTCTGGCAGGGCGCTGCCGCGCTGATGAGGTTGGCTCCTCCATGGGTCAGGACGGCCGCCATGGCGGCATGCTATATCCTCCATGGGAAACCGTCCAAAACGCAACGAATTTGCATATTATGAGCAAAAAAAAGTGTACAATGTTGCGAGAACACGATATTTAAATTGAAAATATATGTACTTACTCCCCTTTGCCAAATTAAAATTTCGTCAAAGTCAAACTTTATAAACTTTAGCTAAATTTGTAGAACCAATATATAAACAATTACAATACCAAACATATATCATATGGAAATATATTTTATCACCCATCAAATGGTATTGAGCCGACATTGTAATATTGATAATTTTCCTATAAACTTAGCCAAGTTTTTCAAGGTTTCCTATACGGGAACGTCTCCTCCCACTGAACGCGCATTGCCGGAAATGCTGAAATAAATTTAGAAATAATGAGAGCATCAGGATTTCAACCCTGATAGGCTGGGGATGCCACTGTCCTCAATGGCGGTGCCAGGAATTTAATTATGTGTAGTCAACTCAATGTTGTGTAGTCAAGATATGTGTATTTCTATAAATTTTGTATTTTTTTTACATGTTTGTGCTTGTATATGATGCTTTTTTCACAAACCCGTGTAGTCAATTGACTACACAGCCAACATATGGCTTCGCTATTGATTGTCCTCCTAACCATTCAAGTACATGTTGGTTCGCACTTTGTCAACTTAGTTAACAAACGATTATAGTAGTAGTGATCGTTGGACGCTAATTCAACAGCCGTGCCGCTTCTTCAATATTTGATCTTCTTGCTCCAACCGCCCAAACTAGAGGCAGCGGGACCGCCTGCTGCTGCCTCCCGTGGCCGGTTGTGCTGCCATGCAACCTCACCGCCCACCCTACTCTCACAGTTGGCCAGGCCATCCATCTACTCACCCACACCTCCTGTTTTTCTCTGGTGATGGCAGCGTCGCACGACAGCCGAACCAGTAAACCCTCGTACTCCCCTCCACGTGGGTAGCCACTATTGCGTCTTCCTCGGCTCCGGGTCGTTCCCTTCCTAGGATCACCATCGTCAACCGCCTTGGTGCTCTCGGTACAGCGTCGTGAACACGGTCAACGAACGACAGCCTTCGAAAGAGGACCATAAGTAGAGAGGCTGACAACTGGCACCCATAAGGTCCATGGTTGCATGCAAGGAAGTGCCTTCTTATTACGCGGGAAAAAAAGTTTCCTCCCCCTGACAGCTGGGACTCACCATCTACATCTTCTCACGCAAGGAAGTGAGTCCTTATCCCTCCTGACAATTGGGACCCACCAAGTTAAAGCGTACGTAGCGTTATCTGTCTGGTCGCAAATGTATACGTATATACTGATCGATCGTCTCATGAGTCATGGCCGTGTAAGGAGCGAGACGTGTCGTAGTAGAGCCCCCTACATAGCAGTTTAGACAGTCCCATCTAAATCGTGTAGACATATATACAACCACGCTGCAAAAAAGACGATCACGTACATACATACGGGCGTGGTCACGAACGCGTACATCAACGACATCCCGTTCATCGGCAGCCAACCGGGTGGGTCGAAACAGAGAAATTGCTGCGTCGTGTTCATCGGGAACCAACCGGCTTGGATGGAACAACCGAAACGAAGTCCTGTAAATTGACCCCCCGGCTCGGGGTCAGGCGTACAACAAAACGAAGAAAACGAGGTTCTCTTCGACCGTCTACTTTCGAAACAGAGTCCTGTTCATCAGGGGGGAGAGTCTAGTGTACCGTAAAACAAAGGAAACAGACTTCTGTTTAACCGCCTACGGTCGAAACGGGGTCCTATTGATCAGGACGGGTCCGACGTACTGTAAAATAGAAGAAACAAACTGCTCTCCAACCGCCTACGGTCAAAACGGAGTGTGGCATACCGTAAAAGTGACTCTACGGGATACTGTTCATTCACCGTCGACTTCCTCCAATCTCCACCGACTACTGTTCATCCACCTCCACGGGGTCCTGTTCATCCACCCACAGTCGGCTGGGGGTGTGGCGTACCTCCCCACGGCCTCCTGTTCATCCAGCGGCAACCGCCTACTACCATGGGGTCATGTTCATCCAACCCCCACCGCGCGGCTGGTGTGAGGCGTACGAGCGGGCAACAACAACGGAAAGTGTTTATCCACAGCCAACCAACCCTGAAGGTCAACTCACCACCTCTCACGCAAGGGGCTCAATCGATGCGTCTCGACTTGTGTCCACGTGTATCACGCGGGCGGCAGCACTGGGCACTGTTCATCGAGAGGCAACCCAACATGGACTGGCCACGTCTCACACAGGGGCTCGATCGGGTTCGATAAGCGAGAAGGATTGACCGGGTTCAGTTAGCAGCGAAGGAATTATTTGGGTTCAGTTAGCAGCGAAGGGATGACCGGGTACAGTACGTAGTGCAAGGGGTCGATAGCTCGTGTTCAGTACACAGTGGGAGGGATCGATCAATCACCCGGGATCGATCAATCACCCGGGTTCAGTAAGCGAACGCCTCACACACACACACGTGTACAAGAGAAACACGCAAAACACACTTCATCGCTCGGCCCTGACCATCCATCGTAACTAGTAACTTCCTGAAATTTTCCTCGCCCTCATTTTTACCATAATTTTTTACTTCATGGATGACTCAAAGAATGTCATGCAGGTGCGTCTCCGGCCCAGCCAGGACGAAAATTCCATTTTCTGTCATAATGTTTTTCATAGAAATAGAAGCCCACCACATCTATGATGATACATATTTTTGTCACAATTATCGTCATGAAAGTGTCATATCCATGATAGAATTTTTGTCGTTCGGACCATAATACCATGGATGTGTTTTTTTTATAATGGCGGGACATGCCTCATAAACTCATCGAGTCCGGTGCCCCCCTCCGAAGTGTACAAATTATGGTAGAAATCATTCACCATCTCCTTTAGGTCAGCCGGATCATCGATTAAGGCGTCAAGTGAATTATCCAATGCCTCTATCATATTCTTCTCTCTCCATATGCTTGCCCTAAGGTGATTTTGTTTTTGTTTTTGTTTTTGTCCCCGGCTGCCAACCACTTGATCCTAGACTGTTGTGTCCACACCAGCTCCTCCCTGTAGTATAGTTTGACAAGTTTTTCATTGATTTTCAGCTCCGCATGTGATGGCCCTACTCTTCTCGGGTCACATCTTAGGCATTATAGCTCAAGCTTGAGGAGTAGGGCGTTTTGGTGACCGAGCTCCATGGAGCCCTTTATTTTTGAAAAATTCAAAATTTGAACATTTTGACTTCAAAAAATTCTGAAAATAAATATGCAACTATACACGGATGAGATGTATGTGTGTGTAAAAATTCAAGATGAAATACTTCGAAATGCGACCTATAGAAAAAAGACAAATTTCTGGACTTTGAGGATGAATAGTAACATGTGTTAAAAAGTCTCAGATTTGTCTTTTTTGCACAACCTTCATTTCAACGTATTTCGTCCTAAAAATTTACACA